ACCTATGGCCCAAGGTAAGACCCGGAGAGGGTTCGGGCTTCGGGTTCACGGTGTTTGGTCCTCTCCCACACTCCCAACCAACTGTCCGGTTGACGGACAGATGTCACCCGAATTGAGAAAACGAGTCTTGACCATCAATTGAATCACCTCGCACTGTCACAGCAATGCTGGTCTAATACCAGTGTATTCACATAATGTCAACTTGCAATAGACTGTCTAGATTTCGTACGTTAGCATGAGCACATATATATACTAACACAGAAAGACAGTTTCATAGAAACGACTATTAAGAATAATTGTCGTAACAACTGCATATTCAAACAGCAACTAGATAGCGAAGGTGAATGACATGAGATATTGAGCATTTCATCATATTCCATAATCGTTGTTCAAATACGTAGCTCCAATGACAATTACAAGGCCTAGCAGTACACCTTCCTGATCTACGCGTCTTCAGCCTTGCCAATATCAGCTTGCGTGAGCCCAACAAGATATAGAATAGTTGACAGATCCTTGTTGTTGACTCTGAAATTCGCTTGTTCTTGAACCTTCGGCTTAGCACAGAACGCCACACCCAAACCCGCGGTGGTGAGCATGGGAATGTCGTTAGCACCATCTCCAACTGCAATCGCCTGGAGGGAAAGAATGACAGTCGCCATGCACATCCCTCATAGCGACGCTCACCTGGTCCACGCGAACACCTTCCACTCTAGCAAGCATGACTAGTAAATTTCGCTTTCTTTGTGGAGTGACCACCGGACCGACCTGGATTAGGAGTGTATAATACGAGAGAAGACTTCCGTGAATGACGGTTACCGTCCTTCCACAAAGTAATCCATTAGAGTCTATTTCGAGCTCATTGGCATAAGCGTAGTCCAAACCAAGCTCCTTCTTGGTATGTTGAGCGAAGGGTAGGAAACCGCCTATGCAAAATAATACCAAGAATAAGGGAACACAAAGAGATTTTAGAGATGACTAGTAGTCTGCTAATAGTATTGTAGACTAACAGTGTGTGTGAGTTGACACAAACACACACTAAAAGTCATCTCGCCACTCAGAGGAGTCACTGACTATTCTAGTCGCAATTTACCAGATATAACGGCCATCTTGAATCCCATAGCTTTGAGGGTTTTAGTCAATTGCCTCGCACCAGGAGTAAACTTCATTCGACTTTCAACCTCATCGATCAAATACTTCGCAGAAGCGCCCTTCAGCAGAGCCACCTGTGCATCAACCTCGAAGAGAGCCACCGCGAAGCAGACCCGTAGGCTACCCTTTGTTTGAGACTTTCGAAGAAATCGATTTCGCCATGCATGGCTTTCGACGTGATGGCCGAGACTTCCTTCTCAACCCCTGCGAGTTTCGCCAGCTCATCAATAACCTGCGAGTGATCTGATACTCTAACGTAGTTTACAATCCGAATGTACCTCGCCTTCAACTAGAGTAGAATCCATATCGAAGACAACGAGCCGACGACAGAGCCTCGCGATGTCATCAACCTGCCATGGAGAAAAATTATGTAAAAAGCTGTTATTCAACAGTAGCGCCCACCTGAACAGCGCAATCGACGCATCCACTCTGCACGCACTTTGCACCCAGCAGCTTCTCCCGCAGCGAAGAACGGATTTCCTGCCGACGAAAAAAGAGTGGGGAATACTACTGTATTAGACAGAAAATGATCGTGATGCGGTTTTCTCTAGAATCATCTCAAGCGCTTCTCCCAATGACTCACATCAGTTGACGTCTGCGTGTCACTGGGATTGAGCACGAACTGCAGAGCACTCATGGCTCCATCGGACTCGTCCAAACGTCGAATCACCGAGATGTTCATATTATTTTCAGCGAGAATCTAAATCTTTGAA